ATTCCATTCAGCTTTTGTAACCATTCATCAATGATAGGAATCGAGGCATCCTTCCACTTTTGTGCATAGAACAATCACCATATATAAAATCAGAGTTCCATTTTTTTCTTCCAGTTCTCTTTCCATAGGCCCAGAAGGAAAGTTTCTGATTTAATCTTTATGTTCACGTTAAGAATTTACTGCATTAATGTATGAATCCTATTCCAATATTTCTTTGCCTTATCACATGTCCACTATAAATGATAAAAAGTCCCTTCTTTACATTTACATTTCCAACATTAATTTGAAAAACCTTTATAACATTTAGTATTATATGCATTCAGGTAGTCTACAACTTACAACTGTAATAGAGTCATAATTCATGGTGGCCATCAAGTGTGTCACTACGTGATTGTACCCAATTTTATTGCATATTTGCAGCAGTTATTAAACAAACACAGCAGTCATTAAGCAAATGCAGATGTTGTTAAACTAACCCAATTGCCTTTTTTTGCTGGAAACCAGAAGTAAGCACTGGGTTCTTGCAAAAAACACACAAATAAAATGAGATCATGTGACCATGGGATGCTGCAAACGGATGTAAATGCAAACAACCATAAATCATGTGATCACAGAGGGAGTCACCATTGTAACCTTGAAACCAGGTCATAGGTAGATCTGGGGAGGTCCATTGTAACTTTTACTGGTTGCAAAATTATTGGTCATAAGTCAAGAACTACCTGTATCTCAATGAAGAGCTTAAGAGGCAAATGTATTGATAGATGCTTTCCAAATATCAGAATGAATAAGGAAGACTAACTACACAATCCAAATCTCAGGTTGCTACACTTTCAGTTTATGTTGTTGGCTGTTTGTAGTTTCCATCTTTTCAACCATCTTGCTTTCTTCTTTTTCCAAAGGTTCTTCCTTCTTTGTCCTTCTTCCCCAGGTCATCTTCCAACTCCTTATTCTTTTGCCTCAGGCACAGTTTTTGACAGCAAGGGTGACAACTTATTGGGTAAGCCCAGACATAATTCTCTCCATTCCTTGGAAACTAGGATTTTGCAATCAATATTATCCTGCTTAAGTTTGTGATGACTTAAGAACTGACTTTGGCTGATCTCAAAGAAGTAAAGCAGGCTTGAAACTAATTAGTATTTATGTGGGAGACAGAGCAAGAAATAATAATAAAAAATTCCTGGGAAAGGCTATCTCTATAGTGTCCTGCTACTAAGAGTTAAACTTTACTTGAGTAAAACTTTTTATGATCTTTCCACAGATTTCTATCAAAAATAAGACTTCAGATTTACAAATATGATTTCAAGCTATGTTGAATGGATTGAAGAGAAAATAATATTTAATCCTTCTAATTCATTTTTTAAAATTTAAGATGTGCTGGAGAAATGCAAAAACATTTCTTTTTCAAATAGTTGTTCATCAGTATAAATTGTCTTTCTACAGTAGCTACTTTTCTTTTTGAGCAGCAGGGGTGCATAGTGTATTTATGGGAAATATAGGGAAAAATCACATTGTTGTTTCTAAAAATATATTATTTAATTCATCAATCTGAGGTGAGATCTCTTTTTATCAGTCAAAGGAGAAAGTTCAAGAAAGAAGTTCCATGTAACATTCAATGATTTTCAATTTCATTGTACCACTATAGTTTGCCATTCACTAAGCTTATTTTGAAGAGATGTTGCTGATTAGTAATGAATTTCCTAAAAACATTTATGTATTCATGCAGAAACTGAAGTAACAGGCAAAAAGTCTAACCTCAATAACATAGGTGAGTATACTGAGCACAACAAGACCTAACAGACTACATTCACAATCCATTTTATCACAGTGTAGAAACTATACACTCTTTTACTTCTTAGACAGACATAGATAGATGAATGGATAGATAGAATAATTACTGTAGTTCAATATGTATAGTGAATTATAATTCCTTAAATTCAATATTTACCAATGAATTTACTGTTAGCAACTATGTGTAGGATTACAACTTAATCCCTTTCCATTCTGAATATATATTTTGCCAAAAAATTGAGATGATAAACAAAGAATTAAATACTTTTACACTATTAATTAAAAACCTAAATTCTGAATGAACAAAAAATCCTGCTTTAAAAAAAATCTTTCTGGATGCATTTTGTCAGACAATTTCCATTAAAATAACTTTTGTTTTACATATCTGCTTAAAATTAAGGGTGTAAACATTGTGTTCCTTATCTAATTATGACATCATGGACCACTTACGTTTGTCAATTTTCACTTTGGTCATTTTGAAAACCCAATTGCTAAGCTCAAAATATCATGACTGCTTAAAAAGAAATACATTATCCTTCTGCTAGGCTAACTTTACAATGTGTCTGAAAAAATAAGCTTTCACCATGCTTCATAAAATCCACAGCAACTATATTGCCAACATAAAACCTGGACCTTGGCAATTTATATATTGAAAGCAAATCACCCCAGTGATTACTGCCTATTTTATTTGTGCCTCCCATATGCTCGTATTACTTTCAAAATATTGACAAAGAATGCGTTCTGTTTTAGACAAAGGTGTAGAAATGGTTTTGTATCATTTTTTTAAAAAATTGCTCAATGAAATTGTCCCAAATTTGTGTAGCTTTGTTCTTCCTACCAGGATGCTTATGATTTATATAAATAAACAGTGCTTCTCTTTCTTTATTGTTAGGCTTTAGGAGGCAGTCAAGAAAATATTGCTAAATCTACAATTTGTGCTGCCAACATTTTAATTATCTATGGTAGATAATTAGATGCTCTACTAAGCCTCTTCAATATCTCAAAGTAGAAAAGCATTTAAGTATGTATCAGATAGATTACTCTGAACAAAGGCAAATTTAAGAAGGTTATTTCATGTAGAGACCAGCAATAATATATTCTGTCGGGGTCTACAAGTCAAGGGTGAATTACCTATTTGGCAAATGATCCCGATTGCCAAGGGCAAGTTTATGCAGCATGATTGCTATTTAAATGATGAATACAAAAACTGCACAAGGCACTGCACTCTGAAAAGATCTTAAGAAATGAAAGCATACAGCTTCTCTTGAAATCTCTTCATTCCATACCATCACAATATAAAATGCAATCCAACCCAAAGGGCAACTTGACCAAAGATGTATAATCTAGTTCTTCTGCTGAAACGATAAAGGTCTGGGCATCAGATATAGGCCACTCTGGATTCTCAGAAAAGACTGATTAATATATTCAATAATTACACCTATACATGGTATCTGAACAAACCATTGTAAGATACATTTGTTGTTGAATCTAAAAAATATTTGAAAAACAAAAACAAAACCATATTATAAAATCAAGAGGGAAAAAAATAATAAATAATAACTAATTTCTTGTAATGTCCATTTTCTTCCTTAAATATAGCTCCATTGATCATTATTAGGGCTATACACTTTAGTTGCTCTAGAGATAATAAAAATCCATCACTTTGTTACATCATTATTTCAGCAGGAATCAATTTCATCCCATACAAGATTACTAAATGGATATTTAGCTTAGCAATATGCAACAGTTTGCAAAAGCACATTTTTTTTTCTAGACTGCGGAGAGTAATTTCTAATATGTGTGAGGGAAGAGAAGCCTTGAAGGAAAATGGCTTGTTCATCTAATTTGCATATCTTTGTGTGAAGTCAGTTTCTGAAGTATTGTATTGGGGGGGGGAGATGGGAAGATGAGAATTGAAGAAGCCCAATTCAGAATGTCAAGCTGTGCTTCAAGAATGATAAAAACAGCCTCATACTCTATCAGTGTAAAACAACTTGCCCAGAGTAGAATTAACCAATGCTGTATTTCAGTGGAATTCTATCACCCCCTGCTGGACAGATGAACTCACTAAAAAAGAGCACACATAGAAAATATATGGCACACATATACTATATATGTTCCCCTCCCCCCCCCACACACTTTCTTTTGGTCTGTTTTTTAAGACATATAAACTTCAGCATAAATACGTTGTGATGAAATTCATTAAATCTTTCACAGAATAGACAGAAGAAATTCTTTTAGCAATATAGTCCAGTCCTTGCCCTATCACAAACTTATCTGAACTGTTCAAAGTGCTGCAATTCATTTGTATAAAGAGGTTCTGTCAGTGTCTCATATTGACACACTTCAGCACTCTCTTCCCCTAATCAAAACTACTGGAGTCCAAATATAACCTAGGAAACACCATCACATAATTATTTTAAAAGAAACAATGTTGGAAAACACATAGAAAAAAAAACAAAACAGTGGAATATAAATGCAACCCTGTGCTTCTAACTACTACTTCCTTGCAACTGTTGTTCCTTTATGGCTGTGTGTATGTTACGTTCTGCCTTGCAATAAAACTGCTGTGTACATACTATCTATCTATCTATCTATCTATCTATCTATCTATCTATATACACACACATACATACACAGATATGTCGTGCCCAACAAAACACCCCAGAAAAATAACAGGAAATTCAGAAGGAAGCTTCCTTTACAGAGGCACAAAAGGACAGTGATTGGTTTTTGCTCATAGCAGAATTCCAAAATTTCTCCCTCATTACAACTGTCCTGCCCTTTAAATATTTTTAAACAAGAAACAACTTTAATTAATACATTAAGAAACATATTCAAACCCGTGCTTTGTAAGGCTTTTTTTTTTTTTTTTAATCTGCTGTGAAGAAGCAAGGATAATCATTGTCCATATAAAAGACAGGAAGAGATAACCCCCAAGAAACTGGAATTAACATTTTTTTTTTTTTTTTGCTCATCCTCGTTTAAACAAGAACAACAAAATGTAACCTCCCCCACCCCCCCCCCCGAGAAATAGATTTCAGGAACAAATTGGTGTGAGGACAAAAATGGTTTCAACCGTTAATTTGCCGGAGTGGCTAGAGAGGTGAGAGATGCTAATCTTTGATTTGCATTGTAACGAGCGGGGGGGGGAGGCGGAGGAGAGGTTTGGACGGTAAATAAACCTCGATTAGAAGAAACGGCACTCCTACCTTGCCCGCTATTGAGAAACAATCCGAACAAGTAGAGCACCGGGAGGTTCATTTTTTCAGGAGCTCACACTGGTGGACAGTTCCCAAGTTAAGAGACGGTGCTGAGCCCTGGAAAAGCCAGCTCTGGCCGCTTACTTTGCCGCTGCTTTGCCCGCTCCTGCGTCTCCTCTTCGCGTTCAAGTCTACCCTTCAATCAAGCGCGCGCGCGCGCCCGCCCGCGCACAGCCATATACACTCACATCAACCCCAGCCCGGAAAGCCGAGCAGCACCGCTCACAGACTGACGGCAAAGCGCCTCTCGCCTCTTGGCTATATGAGGCAGGCGGGCAGGCGGGCGGGCAAGCAACGGTGCCAGTAGCAGTAGCAGTAGCAAAAAACAGACCCGCTACACACATGAAAGGATGCAAAGTATCCCTCCGCGAACGCAGAGGCACATTTTTAGAAGAGCTGGACCAGCCAGGCAAGAGCGGAGAAGAAATGGGAAGAAAGGAGACTGATTCTTCCGCCTCTTTACCCTCGAAAGCTTCTGGCGGCGGCGGCGGCGTGGCTCCTTAAGGGTGTTCCGTATCTTTTTCCAGCTTGTAGGCTACAACCCTCTCTTCTCGCTTGAAACGGATTATTCGAGATTTTTTTTTTTTAAGGGAGGTTCAGCCTTTTCTCTCGCTTTTGAGCTCGACGTGGAGCAAAGCCCCGTTTTTTCCGAAGGGATCAGATCCTAATTCCAAAAAGGAAAATAAAAGGGAAAAAGACAGACAGGAGAAGAAGACAGAAGTTCATAGGAGCTGGAAGCAAAGGCAAATGCAGATTGTGAGGGCATGCATTGAGATTGCATGTATCTACAGTGGTCAGGTTGACAGACGTACTTGGAAAGTATTTGGCAGATGTTGAAGAACTGCAGGCTTATGCTGGAGTTTGTAGAAGGGAAGAAATCTACCGTTTAAAGGCTCCAGGAGATGGGGTGGAGCAGGGGTCGAGATGAGGTTTCATGATGGTGCCAGAGGCTGATTCTTTCTAGATGTAAAATACTGCATACCAATCTCCCTGCCTCCCCCCTCCCCCCCTCTGTTGGGATGATAGAATAATTAAGAGAAAACAAAATGGCTGGAGGGGAAAAGAGAGAGAAAAAAAACAGGTCTGAAATGCTCCTTGAAATCAATAAACATGGACATAAAGGAAGTGATCATCACATATCCCAAAATAATACCACAATTTGAAATCAGAAACCTTGTCCATAGGATTGAAATGAAGTAAGTTAGATGACAATCAGCTCGACAGGGAAACTGACACCTCACATTATTTATTGAATGTCCACTTTTATAGAAAAAGTTAAAATCACCATATAGACTAGAGTGATATAGATCTATATGATCTAAAGAGTGAACACTTAGTCTCTCTCTCTCTCTCTCTCTCTCTCTCTCTCTCTCTCTCTTCTCTCTCTCTCTCTCTCTCTCTCTCTCTCTCTCTCTCTCCATTTTATCATTGCAAATAAATCTCAGATGCTTTATCTGGAAGCAGTTACCACTGAAATTTGTGTTTAATAAAAATAAAATATGGATCCTCTAAACTCAAATTCAGTACTCCAATCAACATACTGTCTCTCATAGTTTGCCTGCTTATAATCTCTTTGATGCTAAGTATATCCCAAAATCACATAAATGATTGCCTGAAATCATAGAGTTGGAGGGAGGCTTCTAGCATAGATAGACCAATTCTCTTTTTGGTGCCAAAAAATCAGAATTAAAGCATTCCCAGCAGATGGCAGACCAGAGTTGGTTTGAACTATCAAATCATGATAGTTCCCTGCCACCCAGTATTTGTTTCATTTGCACCTTCAAAAAGGTTTAACTAATATTTAATCACTAAACTTTTTTTTTGGTAATCCAATGACTATCTTTATATCTCTATCCTCCCCTTAGAGAAAACAGAAAAAAATGCCATTTTTGACAATATTTAAGAGCTATCTGTCCTCCTCCCTCTACACAGTATTATGGGGATCAAAATATTTCATTCAGCCTTTATTATGATTTCCAATTGAACTGGATTATATCAATAATTGGGAAAATTATGGATAGTGGTTTTTTTTTTGTTTAGATCTAAATGTAAACTATGAGAGCATGGGATATGCTTCCAAATACTGACTCCCTATAATACTAAATAGAAATCAGTTCTTGGGAATAATCTTAGGAATATTTGTGAACAATGTGTGCGCTAAAAGTATTAGGTTACTATTGAAATGTCATTTTAATGCACCATGTGTTTTTCTCTCTTTCTCTCTCTGTATGTTTGTGTACAGACAATTACACTGTCTGTAATTTTGAGTCAGTGTTAACTCATGATTACTAAGTCCCTGCAGTGTTCTTGGCAAAAAATTTTTTCCAAGTAGTTTGCCATTGCTTTCTTCCAAGGATGCAGAAAGAATGATGGCTTTATACCTGTGGCGGGATGAAAATTCATGTTTTCCTAGTTTGAAGTATGGTTTCTTAACCACTATAACTAACAGACTTATCTAATTTTAGTCAATGTTTAAATGTTCAATTATTTCTCCATCCTAATTACTTGAAATATTTATTAACTGATAATATTTGTGATTCTTATTGAAAGAAATGGGAATTGCCTGTTGTTCATTGATATGAAACATAATGAAATACTAACTTTGTAAATTTATATCACATAAATTGTGATATAAATTGTGAAAGTCAAAATGACTTTCTAGTATATGGTTATTTATTTGTTAGGCAGGCAGTGTTGGGAGCAAAGCAATAGGGAGAAATAAAATAATCATATAGATAAAATAAAATAAATATTTGATTTGATTAATCAAGATCTGTGGTAAAGAATAAATGTATTATTTTAACTAAGGATAATTCAGTCAAACACAAAGATGCAGAAAAGATTTCAATATATATATATATATACTTTCATAAATTAAGTATATATATACAAAAGATAGTATATTTTCTTTAAAAAAATAACAATTTCCACCAGTCATACCTTTAGTCAAGAGCCATGACAAAATGTAAGGATAAATATTGGTGTGGCTTTTTCTTTTCCAGTGTATAATTGGATAAATAAACAAAAAAAAAGTTGTTGAGAAGATCACATGAAGTATTAATACCACTTTACAATGCCTTGGTAAGGCCACACTTGGAATACTGCATCTAGTTTTGGTCACCATGATGTAAAAAAGATGTTGAGACTCTAGAAAAAGTACAGAGAAGAGCAACAAAGATGATTAGGGGACTGGAGTATAAGGAACGGTTGCTGGAATTGGGTAGGTCTAGTTTAACGAAGAGAAGGACGAGGGGGGACATGATAGCAGTATTCCAATATCTCAGGGGCTGCCACAAAGAAGAGGGAGTCAAGCTACTTTCCAAAGCGCCTGAAGGCAGGACAAAAAGCAACAGATAGAAACTAATCAAGGAGAGAAGCAACCTAGAACTAAGGAGAAACTTCCTGACAGTTAGAACAATTAACCAGTGGAACAGCCTGCCTCCAGAAGCGGTGAAGGCTCCAACACTGGAAGTTTTTAAGAAGAAACTCGACAGCCATTTGTCCAAAATGGTATAGGGTTTCCTGCCTGAGCAGGGGGTTGGACTAGATGACCTCCAAGGTCTCTTCCAACTTTATTATTATTATTATTATTGATCATCGCATAGTCAGCCAGATGTTCAGACTGGATTTGGCATTTTGTCTACCTATCGAGTCCTTACCCAGGACCTGGGATAGGCAGATGTGGATGTTTGATGGTATTACAGATATCGTCGCAGGATGGAAGCAGTTCCTAGTAAGGCCGCCTTTTGCAATTGACTAATAGCGAATTTGTCAATGCCAATGGTGTTCAAGTGGTGCTCCAGTTGTTTTGGGATTGCACCCAAGGAGCCTATGACTATTGGTACTACCTTGCTTGCTTTTGCCACAGTCTTTCTATTTCTATTTGTAGGTCTTTGTATTTTGTTATCTTCTCCAGTTCTTTCTCTTCTATTCTGCTATCTCCAGGCACTGCCACGTCCACTATCCAGACTTTTTTGTCTTTCTTATCGACAATTGTTAAGTCTGGGGTGTTATGTTGCAGGTGCTTGTCTGTTTGAATTCTGAAGTCCCAGAGCAGTTTAATTTTATCATTTTCTATGACTTTCTCTATTTTATGATCCCACCAGTTTTTGCTTACAGGCAAATGATATTTTTTGCATATCTTCCAATGCACCATTGTTGCTACTTTGTCATGCCGCTGCTTGTAGTCAGTCTGTACAATCTTCTTGCAACAGCTTACCAAGTGGTCCACTGTTTCTTCAGCTTCTTTGCATAGGCGGCACTTACTGTCTGTTGCTGTCTTCTCAATTTTGACTTTGTATGCATTTGTCCTTAAGGCTTGGTCTTGTGCAGCCAGAATTAGTCCCTCGGTCTCTTTCTTCAATTTTCCTGCTCTTAGCCATTGCCAGGTCTTGTTATTATCTGCTTTCCCAGCTATTTTTTTTAATGTATTGGCCATGTAGTGCTTTGTCTTTCCATGCCTCTATTCTGTTCTTCATTTGGTCTTTCTTGTAGGCCAGTTTGGTCTCTCCAGTAGTCAGTAAGCCTTCCTGATATACTAATTTCAGTGCATCTTCATCATTGTTCTTCAGATATTCTTCCAAAGCCATTTTTTCTTCTTCAACCATCTGATGTACTTGTAGCATTCCACGCCCACCTATTTGCCTTGGTAGATAAAGTCTATCAATGTCACTGCGTGGATGAAGGGCATGATTCATTGTCATTATTTTTCTGGTCTGCCTATCCATTGCTTTTAGTTCTGCTTGAGTCCAGTCCACTATTCCAGCTGTATACCTAATGACTGGGATTGCCCAGGTGTTGATTGCCTTTATGGTATTTCCTCCATTGAGTTTGGATTTTAAGATCTTCTTCACTCTCTCGATGTATTCACCTCTAATCTTTTTCTTGACTTCAGTGTGCTTGATGTTGTCAGCTTGAAGGATACCCAAGTATTTGTAGTATTCTTCCTCATCCAGACTCTTAATGTTCTTTTTGTGGGGCATCTTGATTCCTTCAGTTTTCACTATTTTCCTTGTTTGATAGTAAGTGTGGCACATTTGTCCAAGCCAAACTCCATTGCAATATCTTGGCTATATATACGGACAGTGTTGAGCAGCGATTCTATTTCAGATGATGTTTTTCCATACAGCTTCAGATCATCCATGTAAAGAAGATGGGATAGTCTGGTAGATGTTTTTGATGTTTGATAGCCATGTCCTGAGTTATTCAGTATTGTTGACAGAGGAAACAGTGCAATAATAAATAGTAATGCTTAATTATTATTATTATTAATTATTATTATTATTACTATTACTATTATTACTATTATTATGTTAATTCATTATTAGAAGAAAAAATGAAGTGGTCACATTTATTGATAAGGGAATCTTCAATATTCACTTTTGAAAAAGGCCGAGACCAGTGATGGGATTCAAATATGTGAACAACCAGTTCTCTGTGTGAATGTCGCTTCTGGAAGTCCATTCTGGGCCTGGGCAACAAAAAATTAGCTACCAGTTCTACCGAACTGGTGCAAACTTGCTGAATCCCACCACTGGCTGAAACTACTTCTTCACTTGTTTTTAGTTAAAACCTCTTTTAACTCAAGGCAACTAATATAGCCATGGATTCAACTAAAAAATATTGACTATTACTTTCATTTTGCATAAGAGAAAAATACAATGCATGTGTTACAATAATTTCATATCTAGCATTTATTATTATTTTGAATAGAACAGAACAGAGCAGAGCTGGAAGGGACCTTCTAGTCCAGCCCTCTGCTCAAGCAGAAGAACCTATACAATCTCAGACAAGTGACTGTCTAGCCTCTTCTTAAAAATCTCCAGCCCACAATTTCTGGAGGCAAACTGTTCTACTGGTTAATTGTCCTCCCTGTCAGGAAGTTTCTCCTTAATTCCAGGTTGCTTCTCTCTTTGATCAGTTTCCAACCATTGTTTCTCATCCTGCCCTCTGGTACTTTGGTGAATAACATGACCCCCTCTTCTTTGTGGCAGCCCCTCAAATGC